AGAGCGCATCCTCAGGCAGCGTGTCTTGGCCTGGCCGCTCGTTCGTCTCACCGGCCGCCGAAACTGGCTGTGACTCACACGCACACTCACGCACTCACTCACGCACTCTCGTACCTAGCAGGGGTGGGACTTTAAGTGCTTGCATGAAGCTATTCCCCTTTTCCCCTCTGCGTCTGTCGCTGCTCCACACTTCCTACCCACACCCACCCTCGCTCGACGGACGCAAGACATAACCTTGTTCGACACATGCATGCTGGGCCGCTTCGGTGGTCCGCAACTAGGTAGGTACAGGGAACCAGCGGCTTGGAATCATGTGGGGGGTCTTGGATTCGCCATGCTAGTCCGGTATTGCATGGCTACAAAGTCGACGCTTGAGCTTGTCTCATCTCTCCTCGCCGGAGACCTGGTAGGGTGCGCTGTTCATAGGCAAGGGAGGAGGTGCTGACCGAAATCGGTCGGTTACAGCAGCGGGTGTGAGTGCTTGCTTTTGGACGCCGCAGATGGATGGTGTGCTCTGCCAGATGCGTGGTTTGTTCACAGAATGCGCATTGGAGTAAGAGCACCGAATAACGCTCGCGAGACCGGGAGGGTGACTCGATGCGCAGGGACGAGGAGTCAAAGCAAACACACTACCACTCATGTCGCATTATTGCTATTCGTGTGGGGGTTGCTATTGCTCATAAGGGATTTGGAGACTCCGCTACAGCCTCCCAATCAAATACATTGTGTTCATAAGTGGCATGCAGCCTCGTGCCTGTGCAGATGTCCCCGACCATTCATGAGGCTATCTGCGCCTCCATACACCATGACTGACATCTGGCCAACGCTTCCTCATACGCCCGTGCCGGGGAACGCACCGGTTTTGGAGAGCACCACGAATGCCTTCTCGCGTGCTATGTATCCCTTCATTAGGCCCTGTGTAGTGGTGCATTGTTAGCAATCCGTTTTTAGACGGTTGTGTTAGCCAACCAATCGTGAGTAGTTACAGCGTTGGTTGGACCGTCGCTCAGTCAGCCTAAGAGGCGAGAAGAGGCAACGAGCTGCTGACGACTCTGCGATGACTGGACAGATATCGCAGCAATCTAGCGAGCACACAGAGCCTCATGACCAGGATGATTCACAGCACTTCGCCGGATCGTCCCGCGTGGCAACTAGCCTGCGTGTGGAGGAAGAGGAAATAAGGCGAAAACTAACCTTATAGATCATATTAGCCAGTAGGCACTCAACCTCATCTGTGTCTAGCTGCTGCTGGCTTCCTAGACTGATAGCTGCGACAAACTCCGCCAGCGGTATTCTCGTCCGGCGGAGTGGCGCCGCACCAGGCTCCTTCGGCTCCTCAAAGCCGCCAGCAATGAACACCTTTCGTAACAGATTGCGTAGCGCGATGTCGCGTCCTCTCTCTAGCGTCAAGTAGATACGTCGCTTTACGAATTCGTCTTCGCCTTCTTGGAGTGCAAGATCGAATGCGTGCAGTTCGCCCTTCTTGATGGCCTGTGATAGATTGAGAAATAGCTTCTGTAGTCGGGGGTACGGCTCTAGGAGCGCTCGAGTAGGTAACGTGTGGGTCGTAAGGAGATGGCATGGGATAAGGTACGTTAAGATCAACCTGTAACGGTTAGCTACTTCATTCCGCGAATGGTTATGGTCGATGTAAACGCACTCCTTATTCCGCTTGGCATCCTTGTGGCACAAGCCCCATGCCTCGGTGAGGTGCTTCTCTGCCTAGGACACTGTATTAGCATCAATATTTTCAACGTCATCCGGATACAAACCTCGACGTAGTTCTCCTCTAGAAATAGCAGTACACCTTGATAATACTTGAATGTCACGCGCTGTGACTTTGGGAAGCTCTCTAGTGGTGGCATATCACCCCTGTATGCACCTAGAGCTTTGAGAACGTTTCGGGACAGACTTGCCTGGTTCAGCTTGAAGTAAGTCTTGAACAGGAGGTTGATGATGTAGTAGATGCCCCATTTTCTTGACTCATCAAGTGAAGCCCTTCAGAGGAGGTCAGTGAATATCAGTGAGCAATCAACATACGTTACACACCTGTCATTTAGACAAAGGTTGAATATCCTGTTCAGCTGCCGTGCACAATCCTCGAGATGCTTGTGCTGCTCCATCTCGGGATCAAAGTCATCTTGGAAGACTGCATCTCCGTTCTCGGCCGAGTTTCCGTCTCTCTCTGCATCTGCTTTGATGGAGAATACTCTCAAGTATTTCCCGACGATGTAAAGGCAAGGGATTGTCCATGCCTCAAAGCCGTAACTCTGATAGCCTCGAATTAGATGAGACGCCAACTCCTTCCAGGTCTCATACACCTTCGCCCATGACGGCTATGCCTTATATTAGCTCAATATCCAGATATGACCGTATTGAGCTTGAAACCAAGCCGCGTCGCAGATGAGAGGCTGCATTTGGATTCTCGGCCTAGACTGATGGGTTTCCCTCACCTTACCACCTGGCGCACCGCCCTGGCCCTGCACAGCTAGTATCTCACCAGCCGTTTTCCAATAGCTCAAGTAGATGTCGGCCCAGCCATCAAGCTCGTCTTTAGAGAGCTTCACCTTATGCGGAAGTGAGTTGTTGAGATTACGCCGAATAAACGACCTCGCGTCATGGTAGTTTGTAGACCTCCATATAATCTGCAGCGTCTCCGGAACAAGGTCGGGTGATAGCGTCTCTGAGAGTATGTAGCCTGGCCTCTTACAAGTGGGGTCGAAGGCGGTCCCGAAGTCCTGGAAGATGAAGTCCATGATGAAGGACACCAGGGGTCAACTCACACGTGGTGAGCTGCTGATGTTGGTAAGCTTCCGCTAAACGTCACAGAAAGTGCAACCTTGATCTCGAGAGACTATGCACTTTCCAGCAGAGCATCTGAGTCGAAATATGAAGAGTTGTACCTCGCTGGAGCTTTGGTGAGAAGCAGGTCTAGGTGAGTTGAGATGAGCCCTTCCTGAGAGCCTTGGATGCTGATTGGCTGTTGCAAAGGCGGGAAGGTCCAAATGGGCACAAAGGCAGCCACCCAGAGAGCCAAGCACGTGCCAGCCAAATCAAGCCACAAGAAGCTCCGTCCCACCCAGCCACACCACATATTGTGGCTTGGTTGCCCTAGTCGCTTAGGGTTTAAGAAACCCTAAAATTCTGCGGAAGCTAGCATCCCCACTAGCAGACTGCTGCGCATTCTCCTCACAGAATTGTTAGCACCTACTTGTAGCATTTTTGGGCACCCACCTTGGCCCTCCTAATTCAGCCATCCACCCCAAGATTTTTTCCACGCCTTCGAGGTGGGATTTGACCTAGCCATCAACACCCTCACTTCTCGACGACAGCACATTCAAAGTAAGCCCATCTAGTCCAGTCCACTGCTGCTGTCTGAGCCCTCAAATACTAACTGTTTTCTAGATGGGTAAGTCAATCAATCCTACTGCACTGTCACCGAGGTCTCGAGAGCACTGGTCGATTGCATTGGCTGGGTATGGCGGAGCGCGATTGCGATAGAATTCTTCGGAAGGGACCACTGTATCGAGCGAACAGAACAGCAAAGACTTCGGGGAAATGAATTACTACAGCAAGTCTACTCTCAAAGATGGCTTGCCTCACTGAGGGGAAGATGTACTCGGTGGACTGGGGATGGCGAGGGTCACTGCCGCAAATTCGATTCACCAACCGCTCGACACGACGACGACTTTGAGATTGTTCGACTAGCCTTCGAATCGCTCCAGCTGCTCTCGTTCCCACCGCGGTCATCTCGTGTCTTGCAAATTGGCATCGTACTGACAAAAGTGTTCCAGGCCGTCTCCAGGAATACCAGGTCATCGGCCGGCATTTGCCGACCGAGTCCAACCCGACTCCCTCGCTGTACCGCATGCGAATCTTCGCCCCGAACACGGTCGTCGCCAAGTCCCGGTACTGGTACTTCATGCGCGGTCTCCGCAAGGTCAAGAAGGCCACCGGTGAGATCGTCAGCGTCAACGTGATCAGCGAGAAGCACCCCCTCAAGGTCAAGAACTTCGGCATCTGGATCCGCTACGACTCCCGCTCCGGCACCCACAACATGTACAAGGAGTACCGTGAGCTTTCAAGAACCGGTGCCGTCGAGGCCCTGTACTCCGACATGGCTGCCCGCCACCGTGCCCGTTTCAGATCTATCCACGTATGTTGCCCATTCTTTTCGAAGGATGATCCAAGGAGAAGGAATGGTATTAACATGCCCACTTAGATCCTCCGCGTTGTCGAGCTCGAGAAGACCGACGACGTCAAGCGTCCCTACATCAAGCAGCTGGTCACCAAGAACCTCACCTTCCCTCTGCCTCACCGTGTCCCCAAGATCAGCACCAAGAAGGTCTTCAGCGCGAAGCGACCGTCGACTTTTGCTTAAGTGGTTTTTCCGTGAGGGGGGCTGATTGGGTCGGGGCGGTTCTCCGAAAGGTTCTCCTGGTGTTCATTAGGGTTCAGGAACTGCAATTAGCATCTGCTCGGTAGAGCAACGAATGAATCAAAAATCCATTGCATGCGTGGGCTACTACACCAGAATTGTGCGAGGCTTAAAAAGTGGTATATTTTGTTCCAGTGATGGGAGAGTCTCGGTGAAATACGGTTCTTCAAGTGTCCCCCTGTAGACGGTATTCCCGTTGCCATTTATTTAATCTTACAGAGTGAAGCCCACAAAGGTATCCGACGTGTCATTAGCATCAGTGACAAACTCATTCCAGTTTGTCCAATCCATCAACTCCATATCCTGAGTCGCAGCAATATCCAAGCTGAAATCAAAATCAAAAGGGCCGTTAGGAGCCCGGAAGATGTCGTTTGGTGAGACGTTCCTGTCCTCCTCGTACGGGCTCGGCCTCATCAGTGGCAGCGGGCCACCAACATCAGCTGGGGGGAAGTCGATTACGACCGCTGGCGTTTGTGCCGGTGTCTGCTGTTGCGCTGGAGCTTCTGTCGGCTCCTTGTTTAGGTCCAGCTGGCTCAGCTGCGCCTGGGCACGCGCGGCCCTGGCCTTTTTCAGCAACTTCTTGATAGGCCGTAATAGGGTGCCTGCCTTCGTGTCTGCGATCTGGTCGCTCCACTGGCCGACGACGCTGTCAATGACTGCCCATGCCCTATCGACCAACGGGCCTGAAGTCTGGCTGCACAGCTCTGCAAGAGCCACAGCAAGCGGATGCCACTGCGGGTAGTTCTCTGTCCACCACCCAAACCGCTCTGCAAAAGGACCGTCCTTGCCGCGCTGTTGCAGCTCCATGATGGCTACGGCTGTTTGAAGCACATGTTCTCGCGAGACACGGCCCCGTGGCCTGCCTCCTGCTGCCGAAGAGCCGTGTGGCCCTCCCGTGCCAAAGGGGGCGTGCTGTTGCCGTACCTGGAAGGGGTACTGAAGTGACAACCAAAAGATGAGAATGATTAAGCGAACTGTGTGAGAAGCTAGTGCGGATGGATAGAAGTTCGGGTCGGCGTTCTTGACGAAGCGCTCCTCGAGCGCCTGCACGCGCCGCACCATGTCGTCCTCTGAGGGCTGAATTACCTGCATAGTGCCGTCCATGTCGGGCTTTTGGAACCGCGCCTGCGGATTGTGTAGGAACAAGAAGATGTCGCAGCACATAGACGTGCACAGACTGAAGGTGGTGTCTGTAGGACCCTCCTGGTCAACGAGCGGTGCCGTAGAATCGGGTCCGAAGTCAGCATCCGATATATTTGTGGGTAAGCGTGTGTTGTAGGAGTCGATAGATATCATGGCCTCTGTACCACGGTCTTCCACGCCTCGGACGTCCAGTACAACAATCTGCCACCAGAGTCTACGCCGCAGCTCGGCCTCATATGGTGAGAAGGCGAGGCCAGCACCATCGCGATGGAGACCAATGGCCTGCGCAAGACGTAGCACGAGTGCCAGGAGAGCCCAAGATGCGCGGGATTCACGGTGGTTACGTAGGCAACACTACATTATTAACATCTGGGTGCTTTTCAGGCAGCGAATTGGTATGACTTACGACATATAGAGCGAGTGCTTGGAACAACTCGAGTTGTGTACTATTGAGATAGTCCGCCTTCGCCAATGCCACTTCTACTGCCAGTCGAAACCTCTGCACAAGAGTGCTCCTTTCTTCCCCTAATTTGGACTTACAGCTTGCAGGACTGAGACTTGTAACTGCAGCAAAGTACATCGAGAAATACAGCGCTTCTGTGGCACGATCAACGGGGAAGAGATCTGGAGATCGCGCAAATCGCTCCAGCCCACTCTCCATGGTTGGCCTATGCAAGATCTTGAACAGCGGATCTACATTGTACCAGTAGACAGCAGATAGTTGCAGGATCTGTTCTGTCTCAGGATGAGTCAGTGAGACTGAACCAAATGCATTGGCATTGCCAAACACGGCTGCTCCAGTTGCCTGTCCGGGCGAGTTCACCGACTGCCCCTGGGAGTCTGGCGTAGACTCTGTGCCGGCATCCTCTTCATCGTCTGTGTCGCTAGATGTCTGAGCCAGCGCCTGCTTCAGACCCTCCACCTCGCCGCACAGGTTCGACCAGAACTCTCCGCTCAGATACTTCGCTGCCGGATCATCCTTGGACGGAGACAGACTTGCGCTTCTGTCCTCAGCCTGCTCGCGGCTCCCCTGACCTTGGCTGAAATCCTCTTGCGCAGCCTGTGGTTGCTGGGATGTCGACGTCGCAGTCGAGGCTGCCGAGGTTGAGGCAGCTGGCTTGAGCGCGCTCAGCGACGCCGGGTCGACCTTGCCCACGATCTCCTCGAGCTTGGCCAGCCTGTCCAGGAGCTCATGCTGGCGGTTCTGGCGCGGGCGCCTGTTCCTCTTGCGCGTGGGAAAGACACACTCGAGGCCTCCTCGGACGCACTGCGGACAAGGGTGCACCTTGCTGCACTTGACCTTGCGCTGGCGGCAGTTGGAGCAGCTGAGCGGCTTGAGCTGGCGTTCCTTGCCGGCAGCCGACTGTGGGCTCGAGCTCTGCATGCTCGGCTAAGCTTGGCTCTAATCCTCGACGAACGGAAGCAAAAAGCTTCACCAGACAGATATAGAGAAGCAACAGAAGATCGAATGAGGTTACTGTGGATTGGTTGGTTGGTTGGTGGGATGGGCGTGTGAAGCCTCGTAATGGATCCAGGCAGATGGAAGAGGCCCCACGTTACACCAAACGCTCTTCAGAATGGACCAGGAGCACCTCGGCCGCTACAATTGCCGTACCAAAGCGCCACTAGGCTGCCCCTCCTTCTTTTCTCCAGCCAGATCAAAGAAGTTAATCTCTGTAAGATTCTTGCAGGTGTTCCGCCCTGCATGAATCCATGCAGACAAAAGAAATCAACAAGGCAACAAGAATGATGGTTACCTTAGCTTCCATAGCTGGTAACGGAGGCGGCTCAAAGTACTGCAGTGCAATTCAGCTGCCACCGAACTAGCATCGCACAGATCCAGATTCGGAAGCTCAAAATGCGTGTTGTAGCGTTAGCTGCATCTGTAGTCGTGACTCATGACATGTTTCCGCCTGCCTTTGATACGAATTGAATACGAAACTGTATGAAACTGTATAAACAGAAGCTTCATGCCTGGGGAAGCAAATGAAGATAATTGAAGGCCAAGAAGCCTCACAAACCTGAAGAGTCACAAAGATGGGACCACCACTAGACAGCAAGAGTGACTGGGTCACAGTCAAGACGACGCTACCTACCCAGCCGCTCCCTCCCAACACTGAGCGGCCGTCAATCACGACCGAACGTATGGTCCTCAGGACTCTCACGCAGGATGATCTGGAGCAAGTGTGGGCGTTACGAACGCAGCCCGAGGTCATGGTCTGGACGGGGAGAGGTAATGTCGATGCAGATAAGTCAGAGACGCAAGCCAAGCTATCACCCTTTTTACCACCCAACGATCTCAAAACGTACAACTGGGCCATCTGTGACAAGGAGAGCGGCGACATCATTGGCATCGGAGGCGTGCACCTGTTCATCGGCGACCGAGGCTGGCCGGAGATCGGGTACATGTTCCGGAAGGAATACTGGGGCAAGGGCTTGGCGACCGAGTTCGTTCGTGCGTTTCTGGCCTCGTGGAACCAACTTCCTCGCTCTGAGGTCGAGATCCAGGTCCAGCCGGATTCACTCGCCGAGGGGGAGGGCGCGGACGGGGCTGCTGTCGAGGAGCGGCTGATGGCCATAACAGTTGGGGACAATTACAGAAGCCAGAACATATTGACCAAGTGCGGGTTTGAGCGCTTCTCTGTCTTCAAGGAGCCAGACTTGCGAGATCCATCTGTGGAGATTGAGTTGCTTCTCTTTCGGTATCTGCCTGGGCGGGCGCTGAAGAATTAGTTTCAGGTAGATGGATGTTAATGGTGATTAACCAGAACCATCATGGCATAGTGGACATTTCAGAGTCAAAATAGGAATTCAACGTCAATTGCACGCAGACCATCATGCTAGTCAGATCTATTTCCTCCTTTCTTGTTCCTTCGGCGCTCGCTGCGTAGTTGGAGAGGCGAAAGGCCGGTAGGCTGCCGTGGGTGGGGCCACTTTTCCGGACATTTTATCAAGTCCGCAGTTCCTCCGCTGAGGTTTGGCTCCGATCGCACTAGGCCGAATGACCGGGACGGCCTACGGACGGAGGTCTCACAACAACCGTGACTGTGGCGTCAAAAATCAAAAGTCTATTTAATTCAGACTCTCCTGTCGCGATGGCATTCTCAAGAGCTCTATCCACAGATTCAAAGATCAAACAATCGATTGTCTACAATTGAGGCAAGCAATCCAACCACCAGTCACACTTACACAAACCAATTACGAGTCAAATCAATACATACCTACAACAAAACAATGTCCGGACTATCAGGACCAGTCATCGCAGCTGCATCGGCGGGTATTCTTGGGTCGGCATGGAACTCAGGTACATCTCAATCTTAACCTCGTTATTTTCACTGATTCTAATCATGATCGTTCAGGCGGCGGAGCAATGTTGTCTCTATTGGCCGTCCCAGGCCTCCTGTCGGCAAACATCCCCTCGCAGGCACTCGCCAAACAGTGGGAAGGCATCTTCAGTCGAGGCAAGATGCTGGGCCCGCAGATGGCTCTGGTGTCGATGCTGGGCTACGCCTACCTGATCTACGACCGGAGGAGCCAGGGGCAGAGCTACTCGGGCTATGCCGCGGCGGCGGGCCTCTCGCTGGCCATCATGCCCTACACAATCATCCTCATGAGCCCCACCAACAACGCACTGCTGGGCGTGGCCAGTGGGGCGACCAAGACGCTGAGCGAGTCGGCTGTCAGGGAGCTGCTCGTCAAGTGGAAGGGCCTCAACCTGGTTCGATCCGTGATTCCCTTCGTGGGGGCTGTTCTGGGGCTCTGGAGCCTTGTTGCGTAGGCGGAGTGAGGTCGTTTGATTGATTGATGCCCGAATGGAAAAACGTTGAACAAACAACTTGGTTAATTGGGGTGTTTTGGTCCAGTATTGAACAGGAGACAGGAAAACAAATGCGAGGGACATGTTCAGATTAGTTTTGCATGGAAGATAGAAGCCAAGAGCAATCGTAATATGTGACTTTCAACTACTCAGGATTATCATGTAGATTGCGTCTCTTCAGGTCCGCGCTTCCTCAAAGCGAAGAGACACCACTTACAGCCTCCCGGGCTGATGTTGTGTATAGACATTTCGGATGACGGGGGGAACACAAGATCATGCCTTGGTCGAGTCCCCGTCAGCCGGCGTGTGAGAACTGACGAGAAGGTGAAAAAGAAAAGAAACGACAGAGTTAGTTGGCTGAAGAGCAGGTGCCGGGATGCACGTGGCATCCTGTAAGCGGCTCCGTCAGCACCTTCAAACGAGAGAACAGACACACAAAATGCACACAAACCCATAGACAGCACCACATAGCACATAGCACAGACCAACTGCCTTGTGCTGCACTACTGTATACTGTATACTGTACCGATACAGTACACAGCCCCCCTGGTCAAGCGCGAAACTCCCTGCGAGGATCTTTTAGGCCCGCCCGTGAGGTCCGTCCTGTCATCAGGCATGAGAAGAGAGAAGAGAGAAGAGAGAAGAAGGAGGCATGATCTTGCCGGTTGTCGTCACTACTAACAAACACCCCGCTGCACTGCACTTCACTACCTGGGTAACGTCAAGATACCTGATACCTACCTTAGCGCTAGCTTGACTCACCAGCCCCCCGCCGTCCCGTGCCGTCCGTCGCTGATTCTGCCTACTCTGGAGCGCGCTAACTTGACGTTAAGGTGGCCGCCCAGCACAACGCCGCCCCATCTGTCACAAGCAAGTTACTAGGTAGGCCTAGCCTAGTCACGCCAGCCGGTTTGAACAGCTACAAACAGCTTGGATTCTGTAGGCTGCCCTCCAGGTAGAGACGACACCTTCTCAGACACATCGCTCAATCAGGCCTTTCCTATATGACGCCTCATTTCCATTTCCTCCATTCTTCCACTTGCTGCTATCTGCCGGTCTGTCTGTCTGTGCAACCCCAAAAAGACTCACTGTGAGCGCTGCGCTGCTCTGATACTTTGAGACCCTGATACTCGGATACCCCGCGCGCCGACCAGACCGCCTGTTCTCTCGACAGCCGCTGCGTCGTCTGTTGCCCAATGATGCAATCGTGGTCCTTCCTCTGCCACTGACCGCCTGACGCTGCTGTTTGCTGAAGACACCCGACGACAGGCACAGTTAGCCAGCCATGGCGACTGCATCGCAGCCCGAAGCTGCTCCCCCTGATCCAAAGGCGTATTATGGCTATCTATTTGGAGCTGACAAGACACCGACCAAGGTGCTTGATGCTCTGCTGAGAGCCATCGCCCAACACATTGTAAGGCCGGCGCATCGCTCCCGCTGAGGGGGCGCGACCATGCCTACTAGACGGACGACTGACACCACACGCCAGATTACCGAACTCGGCGACAAGAGCGATCATGCTCTAACGCCAAAGAAACTCGCTGCCTTCTACAAGGCCGTTGGAGGCGACTACGATGGTATGCGGGCCCAGGACTGCCCCCGTTGTTGATGGAGTATCCGGGCCATTCACTTGCTGACCGCCTTTGCTGCACAGGACTCTTCCTCCAGGCTCCCTTCGACTCCATCTCCTATATCTGGCAGGTCACCGGCTGTCAGCACACGCTGCAGCCCTCAGACGATGACTTCGCCGCCCCCAGCGTCCCCGCGCTGACTCCCAAGGGCTTCGTGCGCTGGGAGTCCATCGAGATCCTGCTCGGGCCCGAGGAGCATGTGCCCTTCCTGCAGTTCGCCGTGCGCAACTGGGCACTCAAGAACCCGGACTCCGGCGAGGCGTTTCCTCTCGACCTGCCCAAGGAGGCCTTCCCCGCCGTGCCGGACCCGGACGTCGACAAGTGGCACAAGGCGTGCGCGGAGAAGCTGCGCAGGGAAGCTGCAAGTAAAGATGACTCGTCGACCGCATCGACAGCATCTGCTGCTGCTGCTGCCGCCGCCGCCGCCGCAGCTTCGGCCGCAGCGTTCGCGGCGACGGCCGACCGAGTGAAGCAGGCGTACGCTCATGTTCATGCGCCACCTAGCGCAGCCAACTCTCCGCGCCCACGACACGATCCCGATTACTTCACACCCCCCGTATCTTATGTTCACGTCCCACCGTCACGGTATCCCAGCGGTGTGCGTACGGCTACCGTACCTGGCGCGGTACCCGTCCGCGTGTCTCCCGAACGGTATCGCCAGAACTCGTCGTCGGCTGACGAGCGAGCGCGCAGACGCTCGTGCTCCGACTATCCCTCGCCGCCGCACGAGACCCCGATCTCCATGCACTCGTCCGGTCACCTCGACCCGCAGGCGCCGCGGGTCGTCATCCCGCCCCGCCGGCACAGCCAGCCGCGGCACTACAGCTCGAGCTCCGAGTCGGACGACGACGTCAGCCCGCGCAGCACGGCCAAGCGCCGCAGCCACCACCACTCGTCCAACGAGCCCATCTCCATCCGGCGGTTCGTCCAGCCCGACGGCGGTGCTGCGATGCCGCCCCCGGCGGCGCCGAACGCCCCGCCTGTCCTGCCCATCCCGACGATCAAGACCGAGGCCAAGATGCGCGCCGAGGACAGGGACAGGGAGACGCGCGAGCCCCGCAGGAAGAGCTTCCCCATCCCGCCCACCTGGCGCGAGAAGCTGTCGAACACGATCTCCGACGTGCTGCCGGGCGTGGACCGGCCGCGGAGCAGCAGCCGGGGTCATGGCAACGGGGGCGGTGCGCCGGTGGCGACGCGTCTGTCGCGGGATAATCTGCCTGGCTCGAGACTGGGCCGGAGCTGGTCTCACGATGACGGCGAGAGCGACGAGGATGACTCGGACCGTGAAAGGGACCGGAGCCACAGACGGAGGAAACGAGACAAGGAGTGGGATCGTGAGCGCGATCGCGACCGCGACCGGGACCGGGACCGAGACCGCGTGCGTGATCGCGACAGAGACAAGGACCGAGATCGAGACAGAGACCGCGAGAGGGACAGAGATCGGGACCGCGACAGACGCGACAGGGATCGCGACCGAGACCGAGACAGAGACAGAGACAGAGACCGGGACAGCTATCCGGAGCGGGAGCGCGATCGCGACAGAGACCGAGACCGCGAGCGGCGCCGGGGCCGCCGGCCGGACGAGGACTGGGAAGAGGCGCAGGACCGCCGCATGCGCCGCGAGCGCGACAAGTACCTCTCGCGGCCCGAGGCACAGCGGCGCACGAGCAGCCACGCAGACATTGACCGCCACCGAGACTCGGACTTTGATCTGCGGGAACGCGATAGGGACAGGGATAGAGACCGGGACCGCGATCGCGATCGGGACAGGTTCTGGGACGATAGGCGCCGGCGCGGGGAAGAGCGCCTGCCCAGCCCTGTGGTCACTGGCGTCAGCGGCCGGAAGTATCCTGAGCCTGGCTGGAACTGATCCCAGGGTGAAGAGTTTATCAACGAGGGACAAAGTCCAGATATGAGAGGTTGTGGAAGTGGCAATAGCCCGTTTCTTTAACGGAGGCCCCGCGAGAAAACAGAATATCAAGAAACGCAACTCAGCAAAACAGCAATGAAATGAGCCTCACGGCGACGACAACGACCAACTCACGACGAGACGAAGAGAGAGGAGGAGCAGAAACGCACCAGCAGCGTCTTACGAACGAATCTTAATGATGTGAATCGCAAGCAATGTCTTTTTGTATTTGTTGTACTTTTAGAGCGTTTCGGCAAGCGATACTTTGTTGGATATGGGCCCAGGCAGGGAGTTGGTCGCTGAGACTCAACAGGATCTAACTCAAGGGAGAGGGAATAGAAACGGATAGCGGTGCAGCAGTGTGCCGAACGAATGATGAATACAAATGGTATTGACAATACTATCTTGAGAGCTATTATTTCTCGTCTCTCCATGTCGAGACACATCCCCAGGTGGCTGCTTGTTGTCATCAGCCAAGCCTGCTTCTTGGTGATAGCCCTCTTTCAGCCCTCTATGCTCTGATCAATGAAACCTGTGTCCCATGGGTGGTACCTGAACGCCGTAAACGACCGCTTCTGCCTGCCACCACCTGCTTTGTACACGCTCTGAAAGAAATATTATGTAGCGAGGGTAGGTCAGGGTTATGCCTGACTAAGGCATGGTCCCTCATATGAACGCCTAGTGATGGTTGGTGTGGCCATCGTGCTCACTATGGCCTTCACTCTGAGCAGCATGGCTGCCGTGGCTGCTTCCCGGCGGCGAGGCTTCAGTTCCAGAGCAGCAACCCTTGGCAACGCAGTCGTCTACACAATCCAACAGGCACGACTTGCCTTGACCCCTGGCGCAGCTCATTCCGTCTACGCTTCCGTCGGTAGTCCCGTCGTACCTAGCAACTTCCAGGTGATCATGCGTCTTGTCGAGACAGAACTCGGGTTGGATGGTAGCGCTGTGAATGCCGTATGCGTGTAGACACTTGCGGGCCTTCTTTGCGAGTTCCATGTATTTCTCGCCGCCAGCCTCCGAAATTGGGAACTCGACCTGGATGTGTAGAGATGCGACTATGTTGGTATCGGAGAGCTGCCAGATATGGATGTGGTGGCAGCTGACAACGCCAGGCAGCGCCTGAATGTCCTCTCTGATATCGTTAACCTCAATGTGCTCGGGCGTGGCCTGCAGCAGGATCTTCGACGTCGCTTTCGTCAAAGGAATGGCGGATTTCAGGATGATAAGCGTGATGAACAGTGAAACTGCGGGATCGGCATAGAAGCGGCCCGGCCAGTCTGTGAGCCAGATAATCAGGGCTGTGGCGATAACTCCGACGTTGCCAAGTGCGTCACCTAGGACGTGGAGCACCATTGCATTCATGCCCATGTCCCCGTGGTTGTGGCCGTGTCCGCCGCCTGAGCTGGGTTTCTTCGGCCTGTTGTGGTTGTGCGCCTGGTGGGAATCCCGTCTGGACCGTCTTGATGTCGATCGACCGCCATAGTATGGGCGGTGATCCGTACCGTTGCCCTTGATTAGGGGAGTATCCTCAGTGGCCTCATCGTCCACGATAGGGTTCTCATCTGGACTCTCATCGCTACCCGACTCATCGCTCTCCTCGTTGAGCTGAGGTCTGCTGGCCTCGATGATTTCCTGACGAAAGCTAGCCGGGTGAATGCTTAGATCCTCAATACTAGTGAGGCGAGTATGCCGTAAGCTGTTAGCACGGCGTCGTTGCCTTCCCCTGGACCCTTGTGAAGCCCGACTCTCGCATCGACCTATAACCTCGGACCGAGCGCCATCGCTGCGGTCGAACGTGATATGGCGCGAATTAAGAGACTGTGTGCTCGGTGCGTTGAACCTCGCGACAGCTGCTTCGGGGAGCAAGTCCGCAATCCTTCCATTCTCGTCCGCCGGGCCTCCATCGACGGCGTCCTCGGGGATAGCCCTGCCCTCCTCGGCAGCATGCAAATCGTCGTGCTGGTGAGTGTGCTCGTGTCCGTGATCATGATCGTGGCCATGTCCTTCATGATCGTGGTCATCATGGCCGCCGTGCGAATGCCCGTGCCCTCCTAGAACCAGAAACCCGACAAGATTAGAGCCAAGACCAAGAGACCCGACGATCAAGATGAGCTTCGCGTTTCCGATCTCGGGCGGGTCGATGAATCGAGTGAGGGCTTCGAGGATGATAGAGACGCAAAGAGCAATCAGAAAAACGGCGTTGAAGAATGCGCCGAGGATCTCGGCTCTGAGCCACTGCAGCATCTGTTAGCTCCGAACTCGAAGTACGCCTATATTGAAGATGAAAAGACGTACGCCATACGAATACTTGTCACTAGTAGCTTTCCGAGCTACAACAACAGCCCATAAGCCGACAAGCAAGGAGATAATGTCGTTGAGCTACATGCATGGAACGTGGTTAGCGGGAGCAATCCGAGGCCTCGGGTTGGCAGACGCACCATGTGGAAAGCATCGGCCATGAGAGCCAGCGAGTGTACCATGAATCCGACAGTCAGCTCAAGGAGGAAGAAGGCGACATCGATGGCCAGCATGATGCTGATGCGGGTTGATTTGGACCACGCCATCGTTGCCAGGGAGGGAGAGCACAGGAGCTCTCAACCACCAGAGAAATAAAGGTTATATAGGGCGAGATAGCCGTCAAAAGATATAGTAACAAGTGAAAAGACAAAAGAAGGAGAAAAAGAAGTTTGCTTGGTCCTGGCACGACGTGATTTGATTGCTGTTTGCGAAGTGCGCAGAGGCAAGGACAAGGGATCGCAATATTAGAGTTTTGAGGGTCGCCTCCTCCTCTCCGCTTATCGCGAGCGCGCGTGTGTGTGTCGGTTGTCTTGGAGCTGACGGACACCGCCGATAAGGGAGCAGGGGTCGCTCTGCAGCAGCCCAAATGACGTCGCCACAGGTGGCTTGACGCACTGTAAGGATTACCTCAGGCGTGCACAGTCAGTGCTGTACCAAAACTATTTCTGCGACTGCAAAGTGTCGCCAAAGTCGCTGTTTGGGAGTGCGTCGTTGTGAGGGAATTTCACTTGACTTCTTCAATGTTGAGCTGACGAAGCTATGACAAAAGAAAAAAGGGACTGAAAGAGGAGCAGGTGCCAGGTGGAAGGAAGGAGCGATGCGATGGTGGTGGTGCCTTGTAGCCGTCAAGGTTGTTGCTTGATGTGGAGCAAAGCACATCATTTTCTTCACTTGTCGCTTGATAGCGTCTTATAGCGGCCATGGTACAAAAACAGCTGCCCTTTTGGTGTGCGACATCAGGCGAGCTACAGTGCCCTCCATCCGGGGCCGAGCTCCACCACCATTAGACGTTTCCCTTTCCTTAGCGATCGTCGTCCGCACATCGGGGCCACCCCCCGGCATCTGCTTCGGCTCGGAGCGGCCATCACTCCCACCAAATCCGAAGGTCCCGTGATCCCCGTTGCTGAACCGGACTACTACCTACAGTAGGTAGGTAGCTTTGCTCTAGAAGATAAGATAACGACCTGTGTCAAGCCATTCTAGGAAGGGAATTCTCACAGAATTCTCACAAGATCGGGCATGCATTTGATACTTGGCACATCTTTAAGATCTGTTTACAGGGTGGACATATCTATTGATAAAGGCAATCACGTCCCGAGAGTACTTAAGGAGAGCAGCGAGATCTGCCCAATGCCCCCTCGCTCCGCGATTCTTTTATTCGACTCAATGTGTATTATAAAATAGCCATCGTCCCCAATAGCATCGTTCAAGTTGACCTTGTTGCCCTCATAACCAGAGCTTTGCTCACATAGTTGTCTGATCAGATCGATTGCGTTTTAAATGGATAGTACGCGGTGAAACCTGCACTGTCAAGCTCTGTGGCTGGGACTGGCTGGTTTAAAAGTTCCAGGCTGCCGCACATCCTGAAGCGATCCAATAGTAATGACATAACTCAGGCATACTAATGCAAGGATCTTTAATTTTGACTGGCCATGGGCCACAACGGCGAGGCTCTCATGAGGCGGGAACTGGGCAGGTCTTTGCCTGACCAGTCTGATATAAATCATGGTCTCTTTCCATCTCTGTCCTCAAGATCCTCACTTCTTTCGTAACTCAATTTTATCCTACACAGTCACCCTCATGTGATCATATCTTATACAAGAATAATATACGGCTTTCTGAAGCGACTGGAGTATCGACTGCTGTCATGGACAATACAGTCCTCTTTGATGATATGAATCTCGACCCTCTATATGAGGATAATACACCTATTGCAAAGAATGTTCCACTGAGTTCTTGGGATGTTGTTCCAGCAGAGACCATCGTGTGGGACGAAGGCACTTCCTTGGATGGCGCAGATGAGGCGATGGACTTGGATGAAGCCCAATTCATCCTGGAAGGTCGCGATCTCATCAATCCGAACATTCACAAATTGCCTCTTGAAGATCTTGGAGATGGGTTCGGGTCCACCTTCTCAACTGCCCACTCATCCTTCAATTTTTCTAGCGAGCCGATCCAGAACATACCTTCCGCGCCTGACTGCGCGACTTTCGCCGGTGATTACGTTGACAAGAATAACACGAAAATTGTTCCCAGCCGGAACATCGATGTTCCTTTACGGAGTCATGTATCATCTTCTGCCCAGTATGCGCGACCAGCAGACTGGGAGACCTGGAAGGCAGCAATCCAAAACCTGTACATCAACCATAACCTCACTCTGGACGACGTCATCATTGTTATGAAACACCGGCACAACTTCAACGCAACGTAGGTACCATCACCACGTGTTGGATCATGACTAATTTGATTTCCAGCAAGAAGATGTACAAGAGGCAGTTTACTAAGTGGAAGTGGCGAAAATACGGATCGTCAAGACTTTCACAGTCGGATCGGCCCTCAAGACCTGATACAAAGTCATGCATACGTCGGCGGGCTTTACATACTAAAGCACTTCTTTACGAGAACACGTCTACTAAACTGAGGACTGAAGCTCTACACACTTTCCATCAATTCCTGATATCGGTGAAGGTGGCAAAATACTCCAGCTTCTTCAATTTGGCCGACGAGAGCACCGTGTGCATTTCATATGCTATACCTTTATTCGGTCGCGGAGAACCAGCGCGCGCGGGGGCATATCTAAGACGAGGGTTCTTGAAATTAGAGGGGACTCTCAGAAATGTGAATGCCCGCAGGGCTTTCGGCCTTATAGTTGAAACCCTAGGCTGGCTTCTCCGCTATGGTCGAGATGATCTTGCGAAGATCTTTCTCTCGCATGTAACAAATATTTCTGCCATTATAGCAGCATGGCATCCCTTGCGCCACATATCACCAACTCTACAAAGACTACAAGATGCGGGCGCTGATGAGCTTCTCCAATTTGTTCTTACTGCATATGATCTGTACATTGACTGGATGAACGGATTGCCTGCTGTCTCTGATTTCCATAAGCTTAGCGGGAAGACCGAACGCCTACTGCAAGAACAGAAATTTGGGATTGGAGCAACCCACATCGAATGGAAAGTGAGAGAAATAGCGTCAGAGTACGACCGACACATGTCGAAAATCACCGACTTGAACCGAGAATCTGAGATTGAACTCTTCGACCTAGAGGTCGCTCGGTTGAGATTCCAAGATGCCATTGAAGTCTACTTAGAGGATTTTGTCGATCGTGTGCAGATGTTGATGGACCGCATAGCAAAGGCGTATAAGGGCTCTATTATTCCGGATGCTATGTGGAGGAAGTCTCACGTCATACGTTACCTTCTTGTGATGGAAATGTTCACCAAGTATCGGTTCCGCACTGGGAAGGTAGAGATTGCGACTTCAGAACTCAAAACCTTTCTTGAAGCATTCATAAGGAATAAGGAGGCTGCAGTCCCACAGATGTTCTTTGAGTACGTATATTTATTACGAAAATATCACGGAATGTACAGGGAAGCCGACGAGCTTGAAAATCTACTTATGTCTGTTCCCCGGCTTGAAATTCCAAATCATGAACGCATCATGGAAGAGGAAGTTGGCAACCCAATTTAGGATGAGAAGATAGAAGTGAGTTCTCGGTCAAAAGAGACTCTGAGTTGTATGAAGGATAGATTCAGAGGCCTTGGTTGGAGGCTTATGTTGGGTTAGTGAAAGAAATTCAAACATGATGACATCACTAACATAGTATATCCTGTATGAATAGCTAAAATATCACTAATGTCTATTTTTGTGAAGATAATTCAATTATCTAAGGCATCTTTCGGTGTCTTTTTCAATCTTGTAACTTCTTTTGTATGCTAACCATGGATCAGATGATGGAAGTCAAGTCTTGGCGCGCCCCACCTTTCCGGCTCGGACTATTTCCTATACGTCGACTTAGATACTACAATAGTAAGAGCTATAGCACTCAGCCCTGTGTTCATATCTGCTACCTCCCGATTCCCCAGAATTTTGATCCCTAATTGAACTACAGCAGCGCTTAGCGTATAAATAGGCAACCCCATGCAAGCAGCAAAGGTCGCAGACCAGAGGGCCCTGCACCGGTCCCAGAGCAGGTCATCAGCCCCAGGAGGACGGCAAGCCTGCAATATCTGCAAAGAGCGAAAAGTGCGATGTGATAGAGCTAGTCCCAAATGCGGACGTTGCATGAGACTTCGTCAGAATTGTAGCTATGATTACCACTCCGGCCGCAGTTCCTCACGATCTGATATGGCCCTCCAACTGACACAGCTCCAGGAACGACTGTGTAAGTGGGACCCCTCAGCACAGCGGGTGCAGTGAGCTGGCTCTATGATGCTAATTGATATTCATATTCAAGCAAGGGCCGAGGCTCAACTGGCTATGACGCCTTCGACAATAGATCTCACATACTCACTCATGGGAGACATGGGTCAGCCAATGCATTTCTCCCCTGGCCCTCTAATCCATAAATACTGCCTGCAAAACAGCCCTCAACTTGGAATGCCCCAAATACAAGATAACTGGGATTACAGCAGTGGAAACTCAGGATTTGTGGACCCGGATCTTCTCGGTGCATTGATCACCTCTCCAACCAATGCTGAAATGAACCTGGACTGGTGAGCATTTACCCAGATGTGCAGCATATACGCAGGTTTTAAAAGTGTTGCTAAATGTCTCATGCAGGTCCGCAATGTCAGGTGCAGAATCCGATGTGGCAAATGTGAATACCGATCCTGCCACAAAGCAAAACCAAACAGCCTCCTCTTCGATTAGTCCACACAACGAATTAGCTGAGTTGATTTCACAGAATGATCTGAACAAACTGTGAGCGGGCAACATGCAATTTTCATGTCTCAGTACTGACACTTTGAATAGTCATGACTTGTATTTCGATATATCATATCCGACGCTGCCCATTTTGAGTCGCCGAAGGTTCATGATTGAACGCGAGAAGAATTCCATTTCTAGATCGTCTTCCAGCCTCATCTACTCAGTGGCTATGATAGGAGCAGGCACACTTTCCCAGTATCGGCCCTTGCAGCAAGTGTGCTATCACCTAGCACGAAAATATTTGGAGATGTGCGAATTAGACGACGACAGCAGCGACCTGGCTAGCATTAATGTCTTTCAAGCTTTTGTTTTTATCATCAGATATGAAATCACG